GGACATCTTGCAAACAAAGAAAAGCAAGCGGAAGATTACTTTATCTCTGCGAAAAACTAAACATTTTTCTTTCTCTCGCTGTTTGCTTCCCTAGGATCCGAACCTGCTGCTGCCGTCCTCCATAATACACCAGCCCTCCGGGATGGTGCAGCCTAACAGCCCTCTCACGCTACGCACCCAGAAATTTACATCTTTTCATGAATGAAAATGGTCTTTAAATGCTGATCACAAAAGTGGAAATTATGTTGAGGCCGTTTAACTTCGGAGAAGTCTCGGTGTCGGCAGATCCGCGTGATCTATAATGACGTGTTTTGCCCCTTTTCACAAGGGTCTAACTTTAATGAAGGTCAAAGTCGTGAAAGAAAAGTGTCCTTTATTCAAATACTTTTATCTTGTTTCAATGATTTGATTTTCTGGGTGCGCTTTGCTTGCGCGGTATGTACACACACGGTACGGAGCGCTGCAGTGAATAAAGATTATGCCTTGTACCAAGTATTTTTATTTCCACCGCGTCGGTCCGAGGCGCGCTCATCGATTTATTTTCATATCCCGAGCCAAAGCTGCTGGAGAGAGAATGCGCGCCGACGCCGCCTCTTCTCCGCCATCGTATGCCCCCCCTCCCCTGCCATCTCGCAGAGACGTGGGGAAATCTCGGATGAGCGTTGCATACCTGTACCAGCCGGCAGCATGCTCCCTTCCTATTCTCCACCCCTTCCCACTAGCGCCACTCCCCCACTAGCGCCCCCCTCCCTCCTAGCGCGAACGTCACCCTTCCTGTTCATTCTCCTCCACTCGCATAGAATGCTTGGCGTGACGGGGCGGGGCGGGGCGTGGCGGGGCGTGGCGGAGCGTGGTGGGGCCCCGAGAACAGATGAGGACGCTATCGAGAGCCCGCTCACACAATGGGCTGGGCCCGCGTGCCGCCGCTAAAGCTGAAAAAGCCTTCACTCTGCTGAAATAAAAACCGCACTGCCGAAGCACCCGCTGCTGGCGCTCCTGCTGCTGCTGTTGCTGGTGGTGGTTTTCCTCCTGCCGGAGTGTCTGGCGGGAGGATGGGGGGGGGAGATGCGCCGTAGAGTCAAAGAGTCAAAGCCACGCGCGCGGTGACGGGGAAATGAAGGCAGGCGAATAGCAAACAGCATCCAGTCCATGCCCCCCCCCCCTCTTCTTTCTCTCCCCTCTTCTCCCGTCACTTTCGGTTGCAGTGTCGCTCTGCCCGGGGCCCGGGCTGCTCCTCGCGCCATTCGGCCATTTGATGCAGGCGGGCATAGTTGGGCGGGGCGAGGCGAGGCGTGGCGGGTGAGGGGTGAGGCGGGTCTGGGCGTGCCTCTCACTCACCTGGACACATGGCTGTTCGGCCGTCCTTGGGTGCACTGCCAAAAGAACCCCCAGACAGAAGATGAGGGGGGCGGGGGCGCGAAGGGCGAAGGACAACCGTTCCCTTCTCGTGCGCCTGCTGACCTACATACCTACTGCGGTCCCTGCGAATTACAATTATTTTTAAATGATGAATTGCACGCAGAAGCTATAGTCATAAAGGACAAAAGCATAAGAGACAGGCAGGGAGTTAACCTTCAGCAATTTTTTCGAAACATTTTCTTTGCTGTTCCTGCCCTGACCTTCCGTATGAGCGCGCGACCGGGCGAGGAGAGGGGGGAAGGGTTGGATGGTCTCTGGGTCGTGTGAGTGGCGGTGATCATGTTTCGTGTTACTTTTTGCACTTTGTGCGGTCCCTGGCCGGGGGAGGGGTGGCGCCGCCCGCGGCAGCCAGCCGGCCATTGTCATCAGTGTCCAGCCCGGCGACGCGACTGCCCCTCACTGTCACCCACAAAGTACCCGCTTCTCCTCGTTTGAAACTTTCATCGACTACACTTCCGCATTACTTTATTATTGATTGTCTGGGCGGGGCGCACGCCACATTCCATTGACCCCCGCGCTGGCTGCCGGCCTGGCTGCGCTGGCGGAGGGTGCGAGGCGAGGGGGAAGGAGGAGGGCGCGAGGCGCGCGGCGCTTTACCCCGTGACCAAGTTGGGACTTTGGCCTCCCGCTGGAGTCCGCTGCGGGGGAGCGGGGGCCGCCCCCACCCTGCCCGGGGCCCGGGGGGACACCCCCATCCCCGTCCCGAGCGCGACTGGCCGCGGGAGCGCCAACCCTTCCATGCGGCCAGGGCGCGGCGGCGCGAGGGGCGCGCGGTGTGTTGGGGAGCGCGGCTCCACCTCCACCTCGCGCCCCGCCCCCGCGCCCCCGGAGCAGGCGGAGCGGGCGCATGCGCGGGCGCGGCTCCGGGCTGCGAGGGCGCCGAGCCGAGCGCTGGCAGCGTGTCGATCCCTCGCCCTCGCGGACCACCAGGGCGCTCACCACGGGCCTCACCAGGAGGCCCACCGCCCCACCAAGCCCACCCCACCCACCAGGCCGGCCGGGGCGCGGGCGCGGGTGGACGAGGGGCGCGGGGCATCGGGGGCGTCGCGGCGGTGGGGGCGTGGCAGGGGGTGGCGGGCGCGCGGGCCGGGGGGCGGGGACGGGCGGCGTGGCGCGGTGAGTCGCGGGCTCGCCAGTCGAGTGCTGCTGCCGCTGCCTGCTCGGCGCTGCGGTGCGACGGTACAGGGCCCAGGCTGGCCCCTCCACTAAATCGTTCGCTCCGAGCCGCCGCGCGGACCCGACCCGCCTCCCGCTCGCCCGCGCGCGCACGGCCCGCACCGCGGCCCACACCGGCACACCGCATCACGCCCGTGCCGCGCCCCGAGCCCGCCTCCGCCTCTCTCGCCCGGTGGCCGACCTGACGCACGGTCCGCGACATGTCCGCCGAGTCCCGGTCGCACCGTGCCGCCGTCGCCGCGCTTAGCCACCCGCAGTGACCCGCGGCCCGGACACACTGGATGGCTGCAGACCCGCCTGTGAAGTGAGTCCATGTGAGTCCCCGCCGTGCAGGCCGTGCAGCCCGCCGCTAACCCCGCCGCCAGCCCGCGCCTGTCAGCCGCCGTGCAGACCTCAAGACGTGACCGCGTTGCCGTGATTCGCAACCTCCCCGCCCACCCGCCCGGCGCCCCCGCCCGGCCCCCCGCGGGCCCACCCCGCTCCGCCACGCGCCGCCCCGCCGGTGCGCTGCCCGGTGCGCCCCGCGGCCCCCGCGGCCCCGCCATTCTGGGCACTGCCCCGCGCCCCGGCCAGTGCAGCTCGGCGCAGCGATGCGCTGCGGGTGCCGCCTCCCCGCTTCCGCGTGAAATGCATGGACATGGGTGCGAACGTCATCTCATTTTCTTTTAACCACAATTCGCGAGAAACGTAGCTCGTATTTTTTTCTTGGATAACTGCCAAATTTTCAAGGCCTACCCAAAATCTATGCGAAATTTATGTGTGCTGTGCCCTCGTGTGTGTGACTGCCTGTGTGTGCGTGTGTGTATGTGGGGGTGAGAGGGTGAGAGGCCATGAGAGCATTGGCACACATTTTGTGCATTGCAAAAAGAAGTCGCCTGGAAAAATCGATAGTGATGCAGGGGTCTGCCCTTTGGAGAGGACGCGGCGCCCTTCGCGTTTCTCGCTGTTTGTTAGTGGGAGTAGCCCTTCGTGTGCGGAGTGTGTAGGCCTCCGTTACCGAGCGATGAGCGCGATGAGTCCGCACGGTGCCTGCCGCACCTGCCGAGCCGCACCGGGCCGCAACCGAGCCCAGCCGAGACGCGTCCGCGGGGCCTTTGGGCCGAGCCGAGCCGAGCCCCGAGTGGGGTAGCGGGAGGACGAGGGGCGTGTGCAGTGGGGCTCGCAGAGAGCGGCTGCGTCTCAAATGGGCACCCGCCTCCCTTCCGCTGTGTTCATTTTCGGAGGGAGGGACAGGAAAGGCGCTTCCCGGACACAGCCGCTGCTCTCCGCGCCCCAGCGCATGTCCGTCGTCTGCTGCGCCTGCGCCCAAGCTTACCACCTACCGCGATCTTTTTTTCGTGCAAAAATAGAGCGACACCCGCCCCCTTTTCCATGAAAACGGTAGAAAATAATCTGCATAAATATGACTCATAGTTTTCTTCAATTAAAACGATCTTTGGAGTTTCCTTATGATGGATTAGATTCTGCAGAAGGAGTTTTGTGTTGTCCAGACTAGGCACAGCCTTGTTAATTTCGGCGCTTTAGTTCTTGGATTGTCTTTGTCTTTTGCTTTGCGCTTTTGGTATTTTTATCAACTTTCCTGCTTTTAGGGCGGAAATTCTGTAAAATTTGATGGCAATGACGATATTTCAGTTTGTCTACTGACAAATTTCAATTGAAGATGTCGATTTTCTCGTGGGAATAGAGCAAAATCCCCTTGCTGAGGTAAAGGTTTGAGTAGCTCGCACTCTTGTCTGCTATGTGTATCTGTCAAAGTTTGCAAGCTCCTTCTCAGAAGACAACATGAAATGGACGCGATTCAAATGAAAACACGGCCGCACAACTGTAATGTGAATTTTTCTATTTCGTGGCCCTCTTTTGCTTGTAATTTCAAGTACTTGCAGCTATTTCCGCTGTTCCCCACTATTTGGGCCGTGGCCGTCCTAACCTTGTGCGCTGTTATTGGTGCAGGGCCCATCCCAACCGGAATATCGAGAAAAGGAAGGAGAGGAGGCAAAAATTAAAGTGAAATTTGTGATCATATTCATATTATTCAAGTTGTAATTATTACTTTGCGCAATTTTTAAAATGCTGCCTCCAATTCTCTCAGCTTTAAAATAAAAATAAGATTAAATTAAAACCTCAAAGCTGTATGAAAGCCAAACAATAATTTGAAGTGGAAAAAATCTTTCAATTGTTTTAATAACTCCTTGGGATTTTGAAATAATTTTTGTCTGTGGAATATTGGTGTTGCTTGTTTCGTGTTCTTTTCCATTTCTTAATTGCTTTTTTTAATATTATGTATGCTCTATTTGTTACAGCAAGGAAGAGGAGTGTTTGTGTTTCCATTCCAAAACAAGATTCAATGGATGGAACATGCTGTTCCCAGACAAAGGCCCTGTTGGTCAGGAATTTCCTGATCAAAATCAGGGCCAGAAGAACATTTCTCATAGTGAGCATTAAACCATTGAATCTTTGTTGGATCTTGTAAACTTGTGGGTAACTAATTTTTTTGTACAAAATTTTGTTTTATAGGAACTATTCACTCCACTCATATACCTTGTGGTTCCTGTAATCATCTTTGTGTATATCAACATGTACGAGCTACCCCCAATACTTCCACACCCTGGTATATTAGAGAGTTTTCGAATCTTTGATAGATTCTTGTTAATACGTAATCACACAATAGCTGTTGCTCCTAACACCTCTGAGACGCAAGTAAGTTAGTTATTCTATCTAATTCTCTTAATATACTTTTGCTACTTTTTCCATCAGTCTGATTTCCAGGCCCTCAACTTCAGATGTATTAAAAAATGATCGGTTTCTTTCTATAGGAATTCCTGAAGGCTGTGAATAATATGTACATGAAAGTACAGACTGAGCAAGATGGTGCTGAAGGCAAGCCTCAAACTCCTATCAATTTTTTGATGTTCAACAACAATGAAGAACTCTCAGACTCCTATTGGAAAGAACCTCAGTCTTTTCAGTTAGGATTGGTGTTTGAGGATGATCAACCAATAAGTAGCAATCTTAAGCAAGTTTCAAAATTTTATTGAGCCATTGTATGATGTAACAAACTCGTTTGTCAATTTTTTAACTATGTTGTTTCTTCCTAAGGTATGAAATACGAGGTAACCCACAATTCTCAGTGACTCCACCCACAACTGACATGTTTTCGGATTCAGACTCATGTCTTGGTCAAGGGCCTATAAAACGTCAATGGAGTGGAATATTTCCAGACCCAGGAGAAACATGTCCAGCGCAGCAATACTATCTGTCAGGATTTCTACCACTTCAAACTCTGGTTGATTTTACCAAAATAACGGTAATATAATTAAAATCTAATTGAACATGATCTGATATGTGCATTCCAGTCTTATTTTTCCTCTTTACTTATTGCAATTGTGTTTTATTAGCTGGATTCTGGGGTTAGTGACTTATCAATTCCTGGAATTATGCTCGAACTGTTACCTAGAAGTGTAAGAGAAACAAAATTAACACCGTTGGAAGGTAAGTAACATCAACCAATCTAATTTTATACAGTTTTGTTCCTTTTTTCTTAAAAAAAAAAAAATTCCAAGCTGTATATGCGCTTATAACATATTATTTCATTCAATTTTCAGAGGCTGCAACTTTAAAGGATTTAATTCTTTTGATCCTTGTCCCTGTATTAATGGTGATGGCGATGTCACAGTACACCACCTATCTCATAGTCCTCATAGTTAATGAAAAAGAAAACCACTCGTTAGCAGCTATGAAAACTATGGGAGTGAAAGATTCTGCCTACTGGTTAGTTATCACAATACTGTACATAGTATGAGGTTCTCTGTCTTCCATCTGTTCATATCTTTGCTCATAATACATATTCGTTTTTTCAGGTTTGCATGGTTTGTCATATACACTGTGCTGGTAGCAGCTCTGGCACTGGTTGTTGTACTTCTACTGTATCTTTCTGATATCCTCCCACGATCCAGTTACACCCTTCTTTTTCTGAATGTAACTGCCTATGGTTGCAGCTCCATAATGATAACCTTTGTGTTAAGCACATTTTTCAACAATGCGAGGGTATGTTATCATCTTTTACAAAAAAGGAATTGGTTATTGTTTTCTAACTATCATTATAATCAACTTCATTTTACTTTGTAGACTGCTGGGTTGTTGGCATCATTTGTAACAACACTGTTAAGTCTTGTGTTCTTATTGGAAACTGGACTGGATGTACACTCCACTGCTGGCAAATGTATTTTAGGACTTCTGAGTCCTTTAGCCTTTGCTAAGGTGCTGTATTTGGTGAGTTTTAGACATTTAATTGGTAAAAACCCTGTTGTCTTGTTTCATGCAAGATGTTGTGTTGACCACTCACTTTGCTTTGTGCTTTTACCAATTTTCAGGCAATAGCTATGGAGATGAATGGTGTTGGCCTAACATGGGTAACTATGTGGGAAGGTCCACAGCCAACACCTGGAGTTTACTTTCTTCTGCAGTTTGTAGATATTCTACTGTATGGACTACTCGCCTATTACTTGGACAATGTTCTTCCAAGTAAGTTTTCCTTTTTCGTTGTGTTTTCTTTACCAGGGCTCTTTATGGTCTTAGCAGCAATGGATTTGAGCATATCATATACTTAAACACTCATGATACTGAGTTTTGAGTGATGCTTCAAATATGTTGTATGTGGGGAATCTTGTAATCTGTTCAGATTTCAAGATTTCTTTAAATCCTTACCTCTTCCCTGTCTGCAAATGACTGCTGTTTCTATAACAATTGACAATTGACTAACATGGAGTGTCCCTTTCTTCCTCTCTCCTGTTGCTAACAGATGAACATTCTATAAGGAGGTCTCCTCTGTTCTTCCTGAATCCCATGTTTTGGTGTAATAAGAAATCTGTTCGGGTGAGTTCAATTTTTCTTCTACTAGATACAATTGTAACATTAGGCTTGACATTAATACACATACAGTTACTAACTATTTTCTTTTAAATTAAAATCAAGACTGAATCCAAAAAATTTACCTCACATATCTTTAGTTCTTCAGGCTATTACATAATTTCAAATCTCTATCTTCCAGGCTACTGCAACAGCAAATGGTGAACCTTTCACATATCTCACCACTGAAGAAACGGAAAGTGGGGATATTGAACCTGTTCCACCTGAACTTAAAGGTCGCGAAGCTATCAGAATAGAAGATCTCCACAAGACCTTTAATACATGCTTTAAACCTGGAGTAAAAGCTGTCAATGGTAATTGATTTTGTTGTAAGCCTGAGAAGAGTTTCTGTGAAATACATCCACGGGAAAAGTAATTGTTTTCTTCTATTTTCTACAGGTATAAATTTGACTATTTATGAGGGTCAAATCACAGCAATTTTAGGTCACAATGGAGCAGGAAAAACTACACTATTTAACATTCTTCTTGGATGCACTGCACCTACATCTGGTACAGCATACATTTATGGATACGATATTAGGTAAATTGCTAGCATCGCTGGTTATATAATTGTAAACCGTACTCATTTTGCCTTGATGTGTAATACTTTGTTTGTCATTGTTATCATAGGAATGCCAATGATATGCAAGTAGTCCGTCGTATGACTGGTGTCTGTCCTCAGTTTGATATTCTTTTTAAAACACTAACAGCCAGAGAGCATTTGCACTTTTACGGCACTGTTCGGGTAAGTATCTTTGTCGGATGATGTGTAGGTTTGATAATTTGCTGTTCATTACTTTTTTTGCTGTATACTTACAGGGCATACCAGCATCAAAGTTGGATTACGAAATTGAGCACACACTTGCAGATTTAGATCTGCTGGAGAAGGCTGACTTTGTTTCTGCTAACTTGAGTGGTGGCCAAAAACGAAAGTTATGCATTGGAATTGCCATCATTGGAGACCCGAAGGTAAATTCAATTATTAAATTGACCTTATCTCATTTTTGACCCTCTTTCTAGTGTTAGTAACTAAGGAACTGTTTTCTAGATCATTGTACTCGATGAACCTTCAGCCGGTGTGGATCCCATCTCCAGGAGACATATATGGTCTGTGCTTCAAAGCAGAAAAGCTGGAAAGGTATGTACGCAACCATACATAACACGTTTCTAGTTCACTCTTTAGGTTTGTTCTCCCTTAATCAAAGATGAGCATAAAGTAAAACCAAGGTTGTTGTGTTTAACTCCTAATGATGTCTGAAATCCTCATTCCCAATTCCAATTTACTGTTCCAATCAACTTGTTTTTGAAAGTGTTCCACCTACAACATCCTGAAAACGCCATCTGGCGGTGCAACACCTCTGGGTTTCAGTGTATGATTTTCATGTCCTGTGCTAATTGTGCTAAAACTGTTTTTAATTCAGTGCAATTTTTTTTTTTGTAGGTCATACTGCTTACAACTCACTTCATGGATGAAGCTGACATTCTTGCTGAAAGAAAGGCTGTCATATCAAAGGGACGCATAAGATGTTGTGGTTCATCTCTTTTTCTAAAAAATAAATTTGGGATTGGTTACCATCTTACGTAAGTATATATACAAGATCCTTAAATCCATACACTTCTATACTTTGTACATACTTAATTCTGCAGTGTAACTTCTTAGACTGCCTGTAAACTTCATACAATGTCCTACACTTCCTCTTTCCCACCCCTACCCAACTCCTTTTAGTAAGTCAACTGATAAAAATTGTTCATACTCTTCCCAGGAATGCTATCCTTTTTTTGTGTCTTTTTATTCTCCACATACATCAGTGTGTACAAAAATTGTTTAATTATTATCTCATTTAACATCTGCAGGTTAGTTCTCCAATCTGATGCTCATGAAGTTGCAATAGCGCAGCTTGTTCAGAGATATGTGCACAGGGCAGAGCGAGCTAGACGTCATGGTAGAGAGCTATCTTTTATTTTACCTCACAATGCAGTCAACAGTTTCCCAGATTTGTTTGCGGCCATAGAGCGTGAAGTCAACACAAAACGTGGCCTTGGGGTTACAAGTTATGGGGTAGCTATGACTACACTGGAAGAGGTTTGTAATTGTGTCATTTCAGTGTTTGTTTTCATTCTTGAGATATTTATGTACACTGTTCATCCATAATTTTATCATGAACCAGGTTTTTTTGCATCTTGAGAGAGATGAAGATGAAGCAGAGACCAACACTGTCATGGAGAATCTATCTAGAAGTATGTTGAGAAATAGAGCCATGAGTCGGTCCCTTTCTATACCATCAAAAAGTACCTCATATCATAGTCTCCAAAATGAAGCTGCTGCTAGTACAGTTACCACAGATTCTGAAATAAACACAGGTATGTTTTTTTTCCCTGCAGGCTTACACACATCTGAAAGAGCATGCTGTAATGATATTTAACCTAATAATGTGAATCTATCCTCCCTGCTTTAGCACAGTAGTTATGCACTGATAGTAGTTTATGTAAATTCGATAAGTGCTATCAAAATGTCATGTCTTGAAGACTTGAAATATTAAGATCCTTACCAACCTGTTCCCTCTTTATTAAGTCGTCTCCCTTTTTTCTCTCATTTCTTTTTTCTTTCAAGATATAAATACAGCACCTTACTGCATGGCATTACTTTGTAAGCCCTGTTGTAGTACTATATAGCTCAATGTCACTCTTGAAGCATCTTGTGTCACTTTCTGGTGCTTTGAGTTGTATCATTTTTAAACTTACAGTCTGCAATCTTAATTTCAGCTGCATTTGATGCTTCAAAGCCTAATGGTGAGGTCACAAACTTATCTCAAGCATCTGCCTATCTCCCTCTCAGCAGCTGTGAAGGTGAGCAAATGCTGCTTTTGTAGTCCTTGTGTAGACTAGCTGTTTTCAATCTTTGTCTACAATTTTTCTTTTCTATCTATCCTCTGCTTTTTACGATTATTATTTTGGGAGTCCTACCAAAGATGCCTATCACATATCTTTTTGTTTCTTGTGTTTTGAAAATTGTTTTTTGAGGACATTAATTTGATTGTCCAATATTGTTTATATGCTTGTAGCAATCTTTGGTGTCACTTTGCTACTTTTACCACCAGCTTTGTAAGCACACTTTTTCTAAATTCAATGACAATGTATAAGACAGTTTAAAAAGTCAGATTTATTAATAGATATGCTATTTACACAATTTATTTCTGTAGGCTTATTTTTATAATAAGCTTTGTTGTAGTATAGCTGTCCTTCCAATAACACTTTAACTAGGTACCCCATGTTTTCATATGTTATGTACAGTCATGTAAATCACTGTAGAGCGGCAATAAGTGGGTTGGGTTGTTCACCCTTAGTAATTATTTTATATACATACTTGAAAAGAAAAATTTGCTCTGCCTTGTTTTATGCTTGAACCTTTTCCAAATTCTATTGTTAGCTAGGAATGTAATTTACAAAAACCTTATGCATTTACGTATTTAAGTAAAGAATTCTGTATCGTGATCTAGTTTGCCTAGAGGATGATCTCATATACATCCTTTACTTTTTTTATACTATGTTATAGGCCCACCACCTGTGAAATCAAAAAAATCTTTAGAAAAGACTTCCAGCGAACCTGCTCCTACAACTCCTGACAATCGTAAACATGCAGGATTTTTTGTTGAAGGTTAGTCTTTGCCTCTTCTTCTACTATCCAGTTTAGATAGACGTCAACGTCAGAAATATTGACTTTTGAGAAAATGTTCACAGAAACAATCTGTCTTTGTTATGATGCTGTGGGCTTACTTGGTGGTGGTGGTGATGGTGGTGGTTGTGTTGGTTGTGGTGGTGGTGGTGGTGGTGGTGGTGGTTTGCACTGTCCTTACCCTTCATCCTTTCCTTGGCTTATTTTTTTAATTTAATTTTTTAACATTTTTGCCACCTTTAATGGCTCAAGCTTTTATTTGTGATATTGTTTTCTAAAGCTAAAATCAAATAAACATGAATGTAATCTGGTATTAATAAAAATCAAGATCAATTTTTTTTCTTAATTGAAATAGAATCAGTAATACATAATTTTTTTCAATGCAGATTTTGCTCAGATTTATGTATTGAATTGTGTTTGTATATGCTTGAATTTCTGCAACACATTCTATTGTTACTTTACAGATGGAACTCTATCCCCAACTGAACATCCCCTTCGTCTGCCTATTGAAGTGTGTCCAAACAATACTCAAAAGCTGTTTGCCATGGTCAAACTACGGTTTTGGTGTTTAATTCGAGACACATACAAACTTGTTAACCTTGTAGCAGTACCTGTTCTCTTATCTATGCTGCTGCTCTATCGTTCTGCTGGACACAATCGTCCTCCAGAAATGCCTTCCCTTCGTTTGGACGGAGGTGAGAAATATTAATTCTATCCTTAAATCAATGTTGCTTGCCCCTGTCTCTAAATTTTTTCTTATCTTACATTTCAGGCACTTACACTAGCATGAAAGTAGCACTAATTGCCTCAGATTTTGCCGGGAGAGAATCTCCTCAAACAGATCTGTTGCTAGGTGGACTTAATGAGGCACAAGCTACTGGTGTAGATGTATACACAGGGAATGCATCTCAGGTTAACCTTACTTCCCCACACCTTTTGAGGCTCAAAATGGCGTTGGGTGATGAACAAGAAAATCCTGGGGCAATACAAGTCTCTGCTGCATATAATGATACTGCTCAACATTCCTTACCCATTGTCATGAACCTCATCACCAATTCTATTTATCGGTAAAATTATTTCAAGTAACATCTAATATTTATATCTCTCAAATATGTTTCCTCTACTAATCCACTTTGATTACAGTATGGTAATGGCAAACAAAAGGGGAAGAGATATTGCAAGGAATACCCAACCAATCATAACAAAGTCCCATCCTTTTGATCGTCAAAATACAAGCAGCACTGTGCTTTCTTATGCCCTGACGGCCTTTAGTGTTGGCTTTACGTTCATCATGGTGGCTGCAACAGCTGGTGTCGACATGGTGTATGATAGAGAGGTAAATATTAGTATTGTTTATAAATTCTCTTTTGTATTTAAATATCTTTTCTAAATTTTAACTCTCTGTTCCAGATCCGAGCCAAAACTCAGATGCGAGTGAATGGACTGTCATTTCCAATTTACTTCATCTCATTTTTTATTGTCATGTTCGTTGTGCTACTTATTGTTTTCATTTTATTGGTTTTGGTGGCATACCTGTGTGGAGTAGCCTGGCTTGATACTCTTCCTGCTGTTACCATATTTGGTATTCTTATGTCCCTCTTCTGTCCCTGTGCTATTATTCTTGCAACAACACTCTCCTACTGTTTCCATAAGACTGAGTCAGCTGCTTCTATTTTACCCGGAGTCATGCTGTTCCCAGGAATCATTCCGTACTTTACAATTGTTTTTGTCAAATGTAAGCATTTTCAATTTTAGCGTATTTTGAAGTGAAATTTTAACAAGCCTTTACTTATAAAACTCTTGTTTCTTTTACAGCTCATAAAGTGAAGGAGGTCCTCCACATTATTAACTCACTGCTTAATCCCTTTTACTTGCCATTTGGAGCAGTTTGGCAAATGATTGACCGTTACCTCATTTGTATGGAAAGTACTCGATGCCGTAGGGAGGGCAATCCATTCAGTAATTACAACACTAAAGATATTGGAGTAATTATTGCTGGCAGCATTATTACTTTAGTTGTATGGTCATTCATTCTTTTTGTTGTGGATCTTAAAAGCACTGGAGCATCTCTCAGAGATAGATTTAGGGTGAGTGCCTCCAAATTTCATTGTCATTTAGTTTCTCTTGAGATATTGAAAACAAATCTCTTTTTTTTTTCTATTTAGGGTGTGCGAGGATCTGTGGGGGCATGTGACGGTGGTGAAAGCCTTGACTGTGGTGAACTCTGTGGTGATGATGATGTGAGAGCAGAGAGATCAAAAGTTTCTCGATTGATGGTTGACCCTCCTGATCAACCACCAGTTGTGATAGTTCAGGTCAGTAATTTCCTTACTATGGCTAAATACAGATATCTTGGAAAACAAAACTAAAATCCTCTTGAATTTTGAAACCTATAATCTATCTTTGATGTTTACTTATAGAATCTTCGAAAAGAATATGACAAAGATCGTGTGCAAAGCAAATGCTGTGATTGCTGTGTAGTGAAAGGAAAGACGCACAAATTGGCCTTAAAAGAACTATCCCTTGCCATTGACACTGGAGAAGTTTTTGGTCTTCTTGGCCACAATGGTGCTGGTAAAACAACAACAATGAAAATAATCATTGCTGAGGAAGCAGCTTCGAGAGGAAGGGTAACATTTTCATTTTCCTGGAATTATAAAATATGTACATAACTATTGTATGTGATTTAGATAAATATAGTGTATTCTCCATTTGCTTCAGGTCCAAATTGCTGGCTATGACATTGCAACAAACATGAATGAAGCATTTCAAAAATTAGGTTACTGCCCTCAGCATGATGCTCAATGGAAAAAGATTAGCTGCAGGGAACACTTGGAGCTGTATGCTGCTATAAGAGGTGTTCCATCAAAAGACATTCCTAGGTAAATTTTTTAATTTGCCAAATTGGCAAAAAAGACATTTTGCGTCTGAAAATAGATCTGTTATCTATATTTGTTTATTGCATTAAATCATTTTTTTTTTTTCAGATTGAGTGATGCCTTTTTAGCTGGTCTTCAAATGAAAGAACATGCGAACAAACCAGCTGCTGCCTGTTCTGGTGGAACTCGAAGAAAATTGAGCTTTGCCATGTCCATGGTCGGTAATCCTGCTGTGGTATTAATGGACGAGCCATCTACAGGCATGGACCCACGTTCCAAGCGATTCCTCTGGGATACAATTTTGGCCAGTTTTCAGGTATTTCAAGTAGTTTCCTTCTCTGGGTTGAAATTCTTGAAAAGATTTTTATATTTCTGTTCGTAAACTATGTCTACTCCATTGAATTTCAAATAATTTTTTACATTACAGGGCACTCGAGGAGCAATTCTTACAACTCATGCCATGGAAGAGGCAGATGCCCTGTGCTCCCGAGTTGGTATCATGGTTAAAGGAGAATTGAAGTGAGTATTTATTTTATTATCTTAACTTTTTAATTTTGCTTTTCAAATACTGGTTTGTTTGTCACAAGTTAAAATAACCCCTCAAACTAGGTAACAATTTTCTTGTCTTAATTTCAGATGTATTGGACCAACACAACATTTAAAAAATTTGTATGGAGCAGGGTACACACTAGAGATGAAATTAAAAGATTTGTCTTCAATTAAAACTGTCTCTGAGAGACATGAGGGCGTTCTTGCATACGTTACAAATTTGTTTAAGGATTCAAAAATTGTGGAATCATTTTCTGATAGACTTGTGTTTGAAATTCCTCAGAAAGATGTTTCATCTGTTGCACAGTGTTTTAGGAATCTTGAAAAAGGTACATAGAATATTCTGGTTAATTTGTCTACCTCATGACATTCTAATAGCTAATTAACCATCTTGCCACCCTTTTGTTACAGCCAAGCGTGACTTGAATATTATAGAATATAGCTTCAGTCAAACTACTCTGGAGCAAGTCTTCCTAAAATTTTCCCATGATGATGGAGATGAAGATGACTGATAAGATAAGAACTGTTTTGGGCCATAACAAAACTCTCTTATACTTATTTTTGTGGTGCAGTTGACATAGGGAACAGGCATACTATTCACGATTAGTTAGGTCAATTTTGATACAAGATATCATGTAAATTGATTTTGCATTTCAATATTTCCTCTCTCTCTCTCTCTCTTGGTAACCAGATCCATCATTTTAACATTGGTGTTCAAGAATGCAGTCTCTTTTACAAGTGAACAGACAATAGTGTCATACTTGCTTATCAGGACATTAGAAGTTTCTAATATCATTAATGTAGCTGGAAAATAGGGAGTTGTGGTGAAAAATAACTGTCATAGAGTAAGTGTTATGAAGACATTCTTACCATACCATGTGGGAGAGCAATTGGAACCTCAGTTGTGTCTGTCATTTGACATGTTGATATCTTTTCTTCCTCTTAGAGTTATTATTGCTATAGAAATGCTCATATATTTTAAGTACTCATTAACTGGATTAATATTGAGATTTTTCTTACTTCAACATTTTTTACAACTACTATTCTGTGTAGTTTTGTATCTGTGCTGTGTTACTCAACTACGTTGGGCAATGTGAGCTAACTTCCGGGCTTTTCTGCAGTTTATTGTTGATTAATTAATGTGATGCTGGGAGTGGCTCTGTAACATTCTAATATTTTGACTCTCAGGTTTCATATAAATAAAATTGTTTATATTAGTGGTCATTTTTTATTCGTCTGTAGCAATATTGTAATTTAGGAAATAGAAGTAGGTTGATGTGATTTGAATGAATTTTCTGAGATGTGGTGGTTCTTCTTAAGAAATTGCTGGAAATTTGATGCTCCACTCATGTTTTGTTATTTAAATGTACTTGGAATGTGCAAGTAAGTAAATTAATAACTTTCCTTAGACAGGAATACTGAAATGTATAAATGACGGCTATGCTGTAAGTTTAAGTGAACTGTTTAATTTCCTTAATAGTAGCTGTTTTCAAAACAGAAACAGAGAAAAAAAAAAACACTTTTCGCACTGTGGAGGGTTTTTTCTTCTTTTATTTTTGACATTGAACAGAATACTTTTCAAGTGATACCAGGTGATACACCTCCTTGTTTCTTTATTTTGAAATGTAGCTTATAATGATGGTAAATGCAGTCATAAATGTTTTGCCAACTTTTACTTTTCGGTACAATCAAGCTACTAGTTTTGTGTCAAAATAAGTTGCTGTGCTTGCTATAATTACAACTTGACTAGACTAGCTCCCTGGTGAGTCCTGTCAACTTTTTGATTTAACAATCTAGTCATGCTGCTTTCCCAATTACAGTAACAATTTTGTTTTTCTCAGATGAGTTGTCAGGTAGCAGAGGTTAGTAATTCACTATCATCTTCATAATGAAGAGTAAATTGAGTATTGAATAAGTTTTCTGTACAAAAGAGGAAACATTGTACAAACTGTCTCTGCTTGTGCAGGGATATTTGTACATTTTTTTGTGATATGTGATTCTCATATGTGACATACCTTTCTAGTCATTGTAGTCATTGTCATCATTTACCATTAGTCATCATCATTTTAACTTAGATTTGTACCAATGTGTATTATGTAAATTTTGCTGAGTCAAGTGTTTGTGTATATGAATTATATCTTGTTATTTTAATTGTGGTTGTTGCCATCTTTTCCTTTTTCTTTAGTCTAAGGTATTTCTTGTGCTTGTATGATTCCGTTCCGGTTTAGCTTCACTGCTGCTTACAGAAGACGGAAATGTGAGGTTGCTTTTAGTCTACTTCTTACTAATGCCTTTTTTTAGACAATACTCCAATAACTGAACTATCATACCGCAAATCAGAGGTTTTCCATCATTTTTTTTTTTTTTCGTTTTTTTTTATAAGATTGAAAGGGCTTTGTCATATCAACCAACTGCTCTCACTCTTCTTTCAAGGCTGTTCTTTGAGGTTTTTTTTTTCTTTTTCTGTATTTTGCTATGCTTCTGTTCTAATTTTATTCTTAAAAGCAAGGTAACATCGCGTAAACTTCTTTTTGTTGTTAGTATCAGTCTATCAGTCTACTGCACTAAGTATTAGTGCATTCACACTACCTTGGCTCGTCTTTCCTGTTGAGCTAGCTCTAATAGTTACATGTTGTTGTTTTTTTAAAATTTGTTTCAACATTGTTTAAATGCAAATCATATGGAATGATACCAGGTCATGAAAACTTCCCAAATTCACCATGAACTCAGTTTAGAACTGTCACTGTCAGTGCACACGTGAGTACTGGAGATTATAAACCCTTTGTATTGAATTGGTAACTGTGATTTTCATCACGGCTGATGTTGCATCATGTTTTTCAGTTCCATATTCATTCCTTATTTTAGTTTGAGCTTTTGTGTTTGGAAGGTAAAATAGTATATCATGAGTCAATCATGAGCAATGTGACGTATATGACCATGTGATTTTTATGATGTATAGTACCATCATGATGTACTTTCAATTTATTTTTTATGCACATTTGGTGTTGTATTATTTTGAAATTCCAAGTCAATTGATAAAGCTGTGCTACTTTAAGAGCACTTTGGCTCTTGTGAAGTTTATGGCAGTTGTATTAGTATTCCGCTGCCTTCTGATCTGATAATATTTAAATACTCCAGTCTCATTGTGAAACTTAGTTTGCTTCTGACTATTGCTAGCTGTTTTAATCATGACTACAAGGAACTACTTTTCTCTCAAACATAAAAATATGCTCAATGTCTTGACAGTTTTAGTCACATTTCTCATGATTTAAACAAAAACCGCCAAGAGCTTGAAAGAAGTCTGTATTTTATTGCTTAATTAACCAAATTCGAGTTCACATATATATATCTATCTATATATTTCAGGCTTAAAACATACTTGTGAGCAGGGTAACAGCTACTATGCATGCTTTCTTTTCAGTAGTATTGAGCGTAGTTTTGTAAAAAAAAAAAAAAAGAAGTCCTGCCATGCACCAATTGCTCTTAAGCTTCTAATTTTGTGGATATAGAATTTAAGAACATGGTTTCTTTCCCAATTTTCTTTCAGTCGTTTTAGCTGTGATAATCTAATTTTACGAACATCTCCAAATTGCCACAGAATACATTAACTATTAAAGCACATCACTCATAGTGTCATATCGACTGTTATGGCCTTAAATGAAAAGTGAAATGGAAAAGGCAAGTTTTTGTAAACATCAGTATCATTTTCAAGATACTTTGACTTTGAGTTACAAGCACTGAACTGCCTTACTTATTTGCTTTCATTGAGGGCTGAAGGTGACTTGCCGTAACTTAAATGACTGAACTTGCCTGTTCTTGAAGGAAAAAACAAACATGTCAGGGTAGATTTATATAAAATACTGAGAGACACATTGGTGATTCTTTGTATTTCTGAGCTCAATACAATTGAAAGGGAAAAGTTACATTAGTAAGACTACTTAAAGTGCAATTGCATTTTTCATTTTTTCATTTGACCTGTGTTGTTTGATTTGTGGTAAAACAGAAAACCATTAGAACAAAAGCATCATCTAAGATTGGATATCTACTTGGTCTTATCAGTAAGAGGATTTTGTAACATTCTATACAGACATGTAGAGATTTACGTGTAACACTCGCACTATATACTTGGATGATGTCAAAAAGAATGCACTTGACCTACAAATGTGTGATCTTAGATTATAAGACTTTGTACCTTAATTAATGTCTCTTGAGGCTTGATTATAATCATATGCTAAATTGGTGTGTCTCATGATGTTTCATGTGGAAAAGATAATTTAGTCTTCATATCTCTAATGATGCCAAGTCTGCAAGATGTTTCAAAACCTCTTATCAGATTTATGCTTTTGTGTACTCCTCTTTTGACATGGTCAAAAATTTGAAAAAAAATATACACATAATTTTAAAAAATTGTCATAAAGAGGGCAATGTGCAGACAACTGTGCGACTTTTCTTTTTTTTTAAATATGGAGGCCAAGTGCTTTGATATACGTATGACAATGTTTATAGCTTTAGGTGATTCCAATTTGTTAAGGTGGCTCATGTTATCAGACATTTGTTAGGTTTTGTAAAAACTTAAGACAGAACACAAAATGCAATTTTTATATATCGATTTATTCATGATCGTATCCATTATCAGGTATTTGTATGAAAGCAATTGGGATATCGTTTTTTAGTCATTACATGCCTTATAGCCATTGAAATTAAATTATAATTAAGAGACAAAGCATTACGGTTTTTCATCTAAACATTCAACTTTGGGAGACGTTAGTTACAACTCAATACATGAATCCTTATGAAGTGAGTTCCAGCAGGACTGGATTTTCTTAGTCTCCAGTAACTTTAGTAAGGAAATTAGTAGTAGCACTCATTTTGTAAGTTTGCCATTAATACAAGAAACAAACAGACTGTTTGATCCTGTCTTTTATGTTGTTTTCTTAAAAAAAGAAAAATGTTTAGAAAGAATAAACAATTTGCTTAAAACTATTGTGACTCATTTCAGCTTCCTACAAATAGAAATCTGTGGCAGAAAAGTAACCAGAGGCCAGTCCCAGTCTGCCTCTTAATATCTACCACTATCACCTTTCCTCGATATCAGAGATCAGATCGGACCATCTTGCAAGAAAGATGGGCCGTTCAAATATTCGCGCTATATTTGATAAGGCCCACGTGACTTCAATAGCCAATTAGAAGGCATGAGTCGTAGCGCCCTCGCCCGCTTCGAACTTCAAAAGCATACCCACAGACACGAGAAAAAACTCAAAATTTTATCTTAAGAAAATTAAAATAATTTCAATTTACAAACAAATTTTACCAAATTGCCTTTCTTCTTCTATACAATTTATTTTGTTTATTGGTGGTGGATGGTTTGGTTGTGTATACGCGGGTTCTCAAGAATGTAGCAAGTGTGCAGTCAGCGATTCCATGAATCTTGGGGTGGAGCCCACACGATGCCTAATTACTGCATTTTGAGGACATGCACTAACCGGGACCTGAAGACATTCCCACCTCCGAATGAGGGATTGTCAAAAGAAGACATACGATGTGTTTACCACTTTCCGTGCGTGACAGCTTTGAGCTTTCATAACCTCGCCACATGGATTGTTCGTGGTGCTGTATTCTTCACTTTTGTTTCTTTGTCTGCTTTATTGGTTTCAGGTTCCCAAAATATCCCAATGAAATTTTATCAGAGTGGCTGGTTTTTGTTCAAAAATTTAATCGCACTAACGCTGCAGTAAATACAAAAGGTACCTACCTTTGTTCGCTTCACTTTGAGGAAGAAGATTTTGTTGATTATGGTAAACTTAGTAAGGATGCCGTGCCCACAATACCCCCGCCCAAGTAAGAAATCACACATTTCATCTATTTAACTACTGTCAAGTTTTATTTCCTAAGAAACAATTTGCACAGATTTTCAGCTGCGATTGCCTATAAATTCCGGCTCATACCTCACCTAGATTCAAAACTTTTGGAACTCGTCAATAACTTTAATTTGAGCCTAGAGGAATTAATTAAGGTTCCACCAGAACATCGTGTCTCTGACATAGCTCTAAAGAGCAAAGTAGATACTCGTGTTCGGATTGCTACCCTTTGTTCTCCTGAGGAGAATATCCTTCAGAAAAATCAGAAGTCTTGCATCTTGAGGGCCTGCCGAAATCATGATGTGCAGGAACAGGATCACAGAACACATTGGCACTCGTAAGTATAAAATGCAGAAATGTGTAATTGCATGAGCTATAGATAATTATTATCATGTGTTTATATTCATTATACTTACAGAATTCCTTCTACTGAAAATCTCCTGGCGAAATGGACAAATTTCATAATTAGGTGCAACCGAACCCACGATTTCCAACCACAGCCTGGAGGTAGTAATATCTATGTTTGTTCCTTACACTTTGAAAAGTCATGTTATCTCCCTAGTGGTGAAATTTCCATGAATGCCATACCTACTATTGCTCCAAAGTAAGTTTTCCTAAGTATTCTGTTATTTACCCTGTTAACACATTGAGTCCCAGGGGGTCCCCTTTTACATGCTATTGTGGCCATATGTGTGGTCATGTGGGACTCATTGTGTTAAGCAGTGAATTTTGTGCTACATTTTATCAGATTTAATTTTTAAATTACAAAGGAAATATTTCTCCAAGGTTCACTGCAGAAACAGCTTTCAAGTATCATCTGATACCTCACCTAGAATCAGAATGTTTAGATGATATCAATGATTTTGACAGAGGATTGGAAGATTTATTTCACCTGACACCTGGTCCTCTCAACCCTGAGCTGGACAGTGATATGTTAGTGGACCCGTATGTGTTGAATGAATTGATTTGATCATATTACTGTTAATTGTTAAATATAATATTGTATTAATCATTGTATTATTTTTTTTCTAAGGAATGAGGGAACTGAAGAGTCAACAAGCCCACATCAAAGCCCTACCCATTCAGAAAGTTCTCTATCTAGTTATCCGAATTCTGAATCAGAGCCTGGGATCTCTGCATCTGACCAAGGATTAACTGGGTTTGTATTTTTAAAATAATGCTTTTGGAATTTAAGAAATTTGCTGCAGTGTAAGATTATTTAGCTGCAATTACCCTTTTGCCACTTTCCCTATAGTTTTGCATTTCTTTCCTCTGTTCCAGATATTACAAGGAAGACCATAACTTTATTTCTAATCAACAGTTGGACATGTAAGATATTGGTACTTTAGTTTTCTTAACTAGGAAGATCTGCAGTTGACTTATTCTTCTCTGGTTTCTACTTGTCCATTTTCAGAACTGAGGCTGAAGCACATCAAGAAGTTTCAACAGCATATGACTGGGGTAGCAGTATCACAGCAGATCTATCTGAAAGTGTCATTGATGCCCATCTGGAAACTGGGAGATCAGATGCACTTGTGGCAATAAAAAAAGCAAGTAAAATCCAGCGTGGTAAACCAAGTATTAGCACAGCAGTTTTATCAGATGGTGACTTTAGCACCCCTTTAAAAACCATAAGATCACTTACACTTGTGAAAACAGAGGCAATGAAAGCACAACAGCGCATTAAAACGTTGAAACAGAAATTAGTACAGGGTCGATCTCAGATAAAGAGTATTTTCTTTTTACTGAGACGTCTCAAACGTGAGGGCTCTGTTACACATGAGGCTGCTTTACTTCTCTTGAAAGGTCTTGAAGATATGTATGTTGCACTTCATGATAAACCGAATCCGTCATAATTGTTTTGTAAGTTTTTCAATTATATGATTGACTGATTACACACGATGTAGGTGTCATCCTTAGAGCATCTAGTATCTATTTACCCCACGTGCAAGGCGACCGAAGAGCTGGGCCTGCATGCTAGAGCTGGCGGGTGAGCGACGGACGAACTAGGTGTAGTGGGAGGGGGAAGGCCAGGACAGCCAGGACAGCCAGGACGCCCCTCGAGCCTCCACCCCTCGCCCGTCCCCTCCCTCGATCTAACTGGAGAGGAGCGCTCTCTGGCGGGACTTTGTCGAAGGTCTGTGCACGGCTGGCGTATACACTTGTGTACTCCTCGCGGCCCGCGAGCGCGGCCCGCCGTGCCGTCCCGTCCCCGTCAGTCGTGTACGAGCACCCAACCGAGCCACTCCGTGGAGCGCTACGCCGTGCCGTTCCGCTCGTGCCATGGCGCCGAACTCGTTATAGTCGTGTGTGTGCGTGTGCGTGTGTGAGTGCCAAGCTTACTTGTGCCCATGTGTAGTGTAATGATGGAGGAACACCACCCGCTCATCTACACCGAGCTGCCGGACCACCGGTTGGCCAATGTGACGACAATTCGCTCCTCCAAGTCGGACTACCACCGGCCGCAACCCTACCATCTGCACCGGCTGCACCAGCCGCACCTGCAGGTGCAGCGGGTGCACTCGCCGCAGCCTCAGCTGGGTTTGGAGCTTCGAGTGCCCTCGGCGCTGGACGCGTACCACCACCTGCAACACCAGCACCACTACCACCACCTGCTGCAACAGCAGCAGCACCAGCAAGCCCACCAGCAGTTGCTCCTCCGGCAGCAGCAACAGCAGCAGCAGGTGGAGGACGAGGCGGAGCAGGAGCAGACGCATGTCACCTGTCTGTACCCGGAGATCCTCGCGCTCATCTTCAGCTACCTGGACGTGAGCGGTAAGGGTCGCGCGGCGCAGGTGTGCACGGCCTGGCGCGATGCGGCGTACCAGAAGTCGGTGTGGCGTGGTGTGGAGGCCAAGCTGCACCTCCGGCGGTCCAACCCGTCGCTCTTTCAGAGTTTGGTCTGGCGTGGCATCAAGCGCGTCCAAGTGCTCTCCCTCAAGAAGTCCCTGCGCGAGGTGGTCGTCGGCGTGCCGGCGCTCACCTCGCTCAACCTGAGCGGCATCTACAACGTGACGGACGTGGGGCTGTCGCACGCCTTTGTCACGGACCTGCCCACCCTGACGGAGCTCAACCTGTCGCTGTGCAAGCAGCTGACCGACACGGCCGTGGGGCGCATCGCACAGCACGTCAAGAACCTGGAGACCCTGAGGCTGGAGGGCTGCTCGAACATCACCAACACGGGGCTGCTGCTCATCGCCTGGGGGCTGAAGCGGCTCCGCCGCCTCGACCTGCGGTCCTGCTGGCTCGTCTCGGACCAGGGCATCGCCCACCTGTCGGGCCTCAACCCGGAGACGGCCGACGGCAACCTGGAGCTCGAGTACCTTGGCCTGCAAGACTGTCAGCGGCTGTCTGACGAGGCGCTGCGCCACATGTCCACCGGCCTCAAGAAGCTCAAGAGCGTCAACCTCAGCTTTTGTGTGGGCATTTGCGACGCGGGGCTCCGTCACCTCGCCCGCATGCCGCAGCTCGAGTCCATCAACCTGCGCGCCTGCGAGTACATCACGGACACGGGGGTCTCGTACCTGGCCGAGGGCGGCGCCAAGCTGAGCCAGCTGGACGTATCCTTCTGCGACAAGATCACCGACTCGGCGCTGCAGCACATCTCGCAGTCGCTGTACGGGTTGCGGTCGCTCTCCCTCAGCGCCTGCCCCGTCACCGACGACGGCATCAAGCGCATCGCCAGGATGCTCGCGGACCTGGACACGCTCAACATTGGCCAGTGCAGGCACCTCACGGACGCGGGGCTGCACACCGTGGCCGAGACCTGCAAGAACCTCAAGTACATCGACCTGTACGGCTGCACGGGTATCTCGCGCGCCGCCATGGAGAGCCTCATGAAGATGCCGAAGCTGGCCACCATCAACTTAGGTCTCGGACACGTGGCTGTGCGGTGACCCTGGGCGTAACCTGGCCTGGGTCGTCTGGGCTTCTCGAGTCCGCTCCGTGCGGCGGTGCGTCGCCGGTACGAGACCCAGAATGGACTGCACATCGAAACCGCACCCCTGGGATCAATCCCCTTTTCCCCAAACCAATGTGATATTTTATATAATGCTATAGATTCCTAAAGCTCATTTAGTGAACATGTAGACGTTTTTCAGTGTCTAATGGATATTTAGTAACAAATTATTGAGCGTATGTGTTTGTGTGTATGTATGCGTGCGTGCGTGCGTGTGTCCGAGAGTGTGTATTGTAAGCTGGCTCAAATCAAGTTACACATGTGTATGGCATTACTTATGGTTTTAAAACTTGTCTGAGGGACGTTTGGTCGTGCAGAGCGTATCGCCCCGTATTTCGGACGAGGTAAAGTTCTGGGGTAGACTGTTGTTTACCTGTGCTCTTCATCGGGAGGGTGCATGCCCCTTTGAAAAGAGCGTTTAATTGTTTGTGATATAGGTGTTAGGTCAACATGCACTTACTAGCCATGATGCTTGATTATACCAGCACTAGAACCAGCAAATGTTGGTGTCATTATCACTGTGATAATGTAGTTAATTATGAAATTTTAATTGTATGTATTGTTTGAATGGAGTCAGTATGTATTTTATGGACTCCACAGGACACCCACTTCAGTGATTCATATGGATTAATTATTGTATGCTCTTATATCTTCTATTGCGCTTGTGTATTGTTTCTTTAATCACGCTTTAAGTAATGCCATCCACAGCAATCATTTGTTAAATTTTACCTCTGGTTTCTTGCTTGTTGCACAGTCTATATCTAGAACTGATGCCCTGTTTGTTTCCCTCCTGTATACCTGCTTTCCCACTGTTCCTTGCATATGTATGTGATTAATTTACCCTTCCATTGCTATCAGTACTGTACCAATGTACACCTTTTCTAGTTAGCGCAATCTATTGTTACATAACGTTTGGTTTTCGTTGTTTCCATGAAATATGTTAAATTGTACTGGGTCGCTGTGCCGGAATTCCCCCTTCGCACACTTAAATTTACTCGACTTCGAGAGCAAAATTTTCTCCGCGTAGCCCGGAAGGTTTGGAACCCTCTTTGGCAGCTAGCTGCAAGGGAGACAGAAATCATCTACGAGTGTCACTTGTGGCTCGCTGCACATATGTAAGGCCAGCACTGGACAATGCGCCTTGCGCTTCGCCTTGCCACGCGCAGCCAGCATGTTCACCGGGCCCATCTTTTTATTTTTCTCCCTTTTTTTTGAGATAGTGCTGTTATCAGATGAGATAAGCGCCCCGCTGCATTGGGCCCTTGAATATTCAACGGCGCTCGGTTGCCTCGGGACTCGGGTCCTTTAAGGGGCGCGGTGAGGGAGGGGCGGGGTGGGGGAGCGGGACGCCCCGTGGCGCGGCCATGCGGGCGCCAGCCGCGCCCCGCTGCGAGCGCTACCCTGCGCGGAGCAGGGGCCCAACTGCATTCGGAATGAAATTTTACCAACTCGTCCACTGGAAAACCCCAGTGCGCCGCCCAAGTTCTATTGTACCGCGTGGAGGCGAGCGGGCGAGTTGCCTCCTGTAATCCGACTGCATGGCGCGGCGCCTCACAGCCCCGCGCAAGTAGGCAACCCGTCCGCGCGCATGCGTGCGGTACAGTACAACTACGAAAGTGCATGGGGGTTTTCAGCCAGTGGGTCCCGGTACGGTCGGTCGACTGTGTTTGGAGTGTGGCGATCTTCTGTTTCGACTCTCTTTGCCATTTTTATTATGATTATTCAAATATGTACTAAAACTTTGTGTTTCACCGCTGGCTGCTACTGGCTGTGTGGCAGTGTGACGCCACAGTGCTGCGCTCCCATTTCATTTTTGTCAGTTTGTGTTTTGCGGTTTGCTTGCTGCAATTAGCTGTTGCGCCCCGGTGACGAAATCCACCGAGCCTTTTCGACCTGAAGCGTGCTGGCGTGCTCCGGCGGCGTGGCGGGGAGCGAGGTGCAACCAGCGCTGGATGTTATCACAATAGTTACTCATTTAGGCCGTGCGGGTCGCACTGCGTCGCCCATTGTTGCTTGTTTTGGCCCACCTAAAAGTCAAAAGTTTTCTGTTCGACTTCTTACTTAGTTGCTGCGTTTTCCCTTTGCGCAAATGTTGTCGTTTTGTTAATATTATATAATTATTATTTGTAGTTCGCGGATGCCTCGTGATATCCGCCCCTCTTTTGCGAACTTCAAAACTGGCTGTTCTTTGCTATTTTATAGCTATTGTTTATTTCATTTATTTTTTTACATTTGAGAAATGAATAATTGTTATATTACATTTTTGTTATATCATTTGAACTTGTTGCGCGCCCAGCGAAGCCAAATAACAGAAACTTATTCGGGAGCAACTTGTGTTCTTGTCTCAGTTTTTATTGTCATTTCCAAGTGAAAATGTTTATATACGTACCGAGAGACTGACGAATGACGGTGTGTTGTGGATGTGAGTGTATTATGACTGTGTGATATTACGCGAATGTGTGTATGTGTGTGTGCGTGCGTGGGAGATCGAGAGAAATGTTGTTTATGTTAAGAATGAAATTGATTTTTGTAAATATGGAGCACCAAGACTTTGGTGAGTTATGATGTTGTGGTGGATGTAACAACACCTGCCATGTCCTTGTTCAATTTTTTAAATTATAGTAAACAAATTCAAAAATTTGGTAAAACT